GACCACAGTAACAAAGGTCACCATCAGTAACACAGTACAACGGCAGGGAATCAAATCCTGCAGTGCCAGACGTGTTCCGCTGCTGAAGCCAGTGCATGTCCAGGCCCGTCTGAAGTTTGCCAGAGAGCACATGGATGATACAGCAGAGGATTGGGAGAATGTCATGTGGTCAGATGAAACCAAAGTAGAACTTTTTGGTATAAACTTAACTTGTCGTGTTTGGAGGAAGAAGAATACTGAGTTGCATCCCAAGAACACCATACCTACTGTGAAGCATGGGGGTGGGAACATCATGCTTTGGGGCTGTTTTTCTGCTAAGGGGACAGGACGACTGATCCGTGTTAAGGACAGAATGAATGGGGCCATGTATCGTGAGATTCTGAGCCAAAACCTCCTTCCATCAGTGAGAGCTTTGAAGATGAAACGTGGCTGGGTCTTCCAACACGACAATGATCCCAAACACACCGCCCGGGCAACAAAGGAGTGGCTCCGTAAGAAGCATTTGAAAGTCCTGGAGTGGCCTAGCCAGTCTCCAGACCTCAACCCCATAGAAAATCTGTGGAGGGAGTTGAAAGTCCGTGTTGCTCGGCGACAGCCCCAAAACATCACTGCTCTCGAGAAGATCTGCATGGAGGAATGGGCCAAAATACCAGCTACTGTGTGTGCAAACCTGGTAAAGACCTATAGTAATCGTTTGACCTCTGTTATTGCCAACAAAGGTTATGTTACAAAGTATTGAGTTGAATTTTTGTTATTGACCAAATACTTATTTTCCACCCTGATTTACATATAAATTCTTTAAAAATCCTGCCATGTGAATTCATGGATTTTTTTTTCACATTCTGTCTCTCACATTTGAAGTGTACCTATGATGAAAATCACTGACCTCTGTCATCATTTTAAGTGGGAGAACTTGCACTAAATACTGACTAAATACTTTTTTGCCCCACTGTTTATATATATATATATATATATATATATATATATATATATATATATATATATATATATATATATATATATATATATATATATATATATCAGGACTGGGCAATATATGAAAAATCTATTGTTTTAGAAATTTCTGACTCTTATTGAGAACATTTTTTCCCATGTCAATAAATTTGCTAATAAAAAATGTGTGAAGGGTTGGCAATATTCATGTCACACACTCGCTTTCATCAGTGCGCCCCAATGCAGCTGTGGCTACATTGTAGCTCATCATCACCAGCATGGGAATGTGTAGATGACTGATAGACTGATACAGGCCATTTACCATATTTTACGCTCACTCAGATCCTCTTCTTCTCTCCATCTTGTTGCCCCTTCTGCACACCTCACTACCATGGAGGACAGAGCTTTCAGCTGCTCTGCTCCCCGTCTTTGGAACACACTCCCCCCAGACATCAGAAACATTGACTGCCTCACCCTTTTCAAATCCAGACTCAAGACTCATCTGTTCAAAACTGCTTATGACTTGTGACTTGTTTGATCTGTTTTTATGACTGTTTGGTTTGTTTTATTCTGGTATTTTACTGTATTTTATTGTGTTTTATCTTGTAAAGTGACTGTGGGTGTTTTGAAAGGTGCTTTTAAATAAATTATTATTATTATTATTATTATTATTATTATTATACAGATTTTGTCACAGATGTGTTTTCATCTTCTATCTTCTGACATTAATGGCGTACAGTTTGAGCCATAGACACCCAGTGAGGTTCTGTACTTTTTGGGAAACATTTAGGTGATGGACCTGTTGTCTGTACATGAAGCTCACTCTGTCCACTGGCACAACATGTTTGTGTGTGTGTGTGTGTGTGTGTGTCCCTGTGTATGTATGAAGCTGTCCTAATAATAATAATAATAATAATAATAATAATAATAATAATAATAATAGCCTTTATTGTCATTGTACAGGATACAATGGAATTGGAGTGCCACTCCCTTGGTGCACAATACAATAATACTTATAAATATAAAAGGTCCCCTAAAACAAAACAATAGTAAGTACAATATATACCGAATAGCACAATATATACAGAATAGCAGCTAAAATATTATGTATAAAATGGCATTAGAATAGCAGCATAGTAGTTGACGGTGACCTTGACAGTCGCTAAGCAGATTTAATTGTTTTTATGCTTATTTACTATAGAGATCGCCCTGGGAAAGAAGCTATCCCTGAATCTGTTTGACCTGGTTTTATGTGACCTGTACCATCGACCTGATGGTAATAGTTGAAAGACTTGATTGCTGGGGTGAGACTGGTCCTTGATGATATTGCTTGCTCTGCTGAGGTACCGAGAGTTTGCAATGACCTCCAGGCTGGACAGAGAGAAGCCAGTGATCTTCTGGGCTGTGTTGATGACCCTCTGCAGTACTTTCCTGTCTGCAGCTGAGCACCCTGCGTACCATGCTGTTATGCAGTACGTTATGATGCTTTCTATGGTGGCTCTGTAGAAAGTAACCAGCAGCCTCTCCTCCAGGTTGTTCCTCCTGAGCACTCTCAGAAAGTGGAGACGCTGCTGGGCCTTTTTTACCACTGCCGTGGTATTTGCGGTCCAGGAGAGATCGTCAGAGATCTGCACGCCCAGAAACCTCATGAAGTATACCCTCTCCACACAGTTCCCATGAATGTACAATGGGGCTGGGTCTGCTCTGCCCTTCCTGAAGTCGAAGATAAGTTCTTTAGTTTTCGTGGTGTTCAGTTGTAGGTTATTCACTGAACACCACTCCGCCAGTCTGTTGACCTCATCTCTGTAGTCTGTCTCATTCCCCTTCGAGATGAGTCCGACCACGGTGGTATCATCCGCAAACTTTATAATGGTGTTTGAGAGATGGAGCAGTCGGATATGTAGAGTGTAAGCTAGAGGAGATAATGAAGTGAGTGGGAGGAGGTTTGGGCCTGTTGCTTGTGGGATTTTCCCAGATTGTTGGTGGCACTGATTTTGAAGTTAAGAATAAATCAGGAAAGTTAAAAACTGCCTGTTTTTTTAACCATAAACACACCACACTTTACTAGTTAGCATACTAAATTGTTGTATGGTTTGGTAGGAACCTTACGTTAGGAATTGTGGGAGAAAAAGTGCTAACCAAGGGTCAAAACCATTTTCTGCGATCATCTGATTCTGTGTCTCTAGAGGAAGTCAGACCTGAATTATTATGTATTTTTCAAAATGTAGCTTGCTTAAATGGCTTTTTTTCCAAAAACGTTGACTGCATCTTCAAAGCTCTTGACACGTATGCTCAGATGTTTGAGTTGAACGTGCATTCAGTACTAACGGTGAATCTAAGTGTCTTGATGGTTAATTGTTTATCGTAGCAATTTTTAATCACATTGTTTAACATTTATGTTTTTGACTCAATGCACCGAAAGACCTGAATTACAACTTTTTGTTGTTTCCAGTTTCATGTTGACATTAAAAAGAGGAAGTGTTTCTCTGCAATGAGGAAATCCAGTGTAGAGTCATCATATGATTAAAGAAGTTTATTTATTTATTTTTTTGCTTGTTTTGCTAATTTTACTGTATGTACTTGAGCTACTGGCCAAATTTTTGAAAACATCTGCAATTTCTTGTGTCATGATGGCTGAAGTTTTAAACATAATTTTTTTAGAGCCCTGTTTTTTCAAATAACTGCAAGAAAGCATCTTAGTTTGCTGAATAAATAAAACACATCCAAGCAGAGAGATCTTTAATTTTCTAGGGCAGAATTCATGAGTCCAAAGTAGGTTCAGGTCTAAATGTTTGTTCTTGATCACGAACAACCTTTGCAAAAAGAAGAGGCACCCCTGCCCTCGTCACTTGTTACCCCTCTGTGCCTTCAGGGTCCTGCAGTGACCAGGAATAACTTTTGAAGCACATGCTGGGTTTGATTTATATGCCTGGGCTGCAGATCTACTCATGGTCACAAGATGGACCAAAGATACACTCTCTTTATTATTTTAGTTTGCAATTACTGTTACTATTGTTTCAAACTTCTAGCAACAAAAATAACGGGCAGGCGAGTTAGTAATATCCGGTTTTAGAGCTCAAGTTCCTCTTTTTTAGCTTCCAGTTTTGTACTTTTTCCAGTACCAGCCTTATCTCTGCATTGGGATAAACATAGCTAATAGAAATGTTGATACCAAGATTTAATGAAGCTAGTTGGTATCGACTTGTGTAGAAAGACCCTATAATGTGACCAGTGGATGCATTTACCAGCAGTAAATACTATCAGTTAATGCTGGAGCAAAACTGAGAGATGCAGCTGAGAGTTGAATTATTCCTGCATTAATACAATAATTTAGATCCAAACAAGACTTGGTGCACTGATCATGCTTTGAACGAGAGAAGAGTTTTCCAACAGTGTGTTCAAATCCCTGGAAAGTACAAAATGTACAGAGCAGTGATTGTGTCCGATAAGTACAGATTTTCCATCAGCTAATTACTTTGTTAAATGATCGGGTCTGTGAAGTAATTGTGGCAAACGCCCAATGCTAATGAGCTCAATGGTGGTTTACGTGGATCCATACTTCGACCCTTCAGTGACTTTTTCCTGTGGGACAAGGACGGTAGTTGGATTGGTGCTAGCGCTAAACAGAACAACCCATTTAAATCTCCTGACTCACTGCCAACGTTGCTGTTGTAAAAACACACGATCGCTCCGACTGCATTTCATTTGCTGAAAAGCTGCCTTTTGCTTTGAAGTCCAACTCTTGAGTTGTAGAATAATATTTCATGTAGCCGTTGGGAACAGTAGTCTTGACAGGACATGTCTGAATGCTTTTGGGTGTGAAGATTTTAAAGACATCGCTAATAATAAGAACCACATACCAGCGGCATATTTCACTTACACTCAGTTACCAATGAAAGACAATGCCCCAAGGATGTAGAGCGAATTATGCTTGTTGCTACTTGCCAAACTATTTGAGCCTTTTCAAAATACACCTACACACTCCTCACAAGGCCTCTTTCTGTTGTCAGGTGTCTCTCCTCATCAGTTTCATTTCCTCTCTGCAGGGCGGCAACAATGCAGGACACACCGTGGTGGTCGACTCAGTTGAGTATGACTTTCACCTCCTGCCAAGCGGCATCACCAACCCCAAAGTCACCGCCTTCATTGGTGTGTAAAACGCTCAGACACTCCTTTTATTAGAACACACAAACACACACATACACACCCTTTTGCCTTTCTGTAAGAGCGGATCAGGATCACTTGCAGTCTTTGAGCTCGTCATTGCTGCAGCAAAAAGCTGCTACAGAGAGTGTGACCAGCTTGCCTCAGTACCAGACAGCGGGCTGCATCACATCCACTCATCTGCACTAACCTCATTAGCTAATGGAGCCCTGACTCTTTCTTTAAGGCTCTCAACCCTCCACACAGCTGCACTTCAACGTGCAGCTTTTGAAGCTTAATCACATCTTTGCTTTCTGCCTTTGATGTACGACATGTTTGCTTTACTCTGCAGACTCAGGGAGGTATTGCAAGTGTTGCAACTGACAGTGTTTGCTATACCTAAATTTATCAAATACCCCTTTTGATGCATGAAGCTGTCGTCAAACTTTTCAGCTGAAAGGCAAATTTAAAAAGTATTGCTGGAATTTATGCAGTCACCACAATAAGATAAAGATGCCAGATCAAACTCCTACTTCACACTGGAAGCATCAGCGGGACAGAACGGTAGCTGAGCGGTTTACTCGCGACTTTTTTTGCAGTCCAGTACACACCAGGAGAGTCTTGGCCACGGAGCGGCTTCCTTCTAGACTTGATAGATCACAAAATCCCTGGAGACTTTTGTCATTCTCCTTGCTTAACTCGCAAGATCACAAAATCCCTTGAGTTTATGCCATCCGCCATTAAACCAAAAGGAAGGAAATCACGTTTGAAATCATATACAATGTTGTTCCTTTCCACTGCCAGGAATAAAGCCATGAAAAACATTGCTGGAACGATGCCGGGAGTAAATAGGTCACATATTTTGACGTTATCTAAATGGGTATGAAATAGCATTACTACAATAGTGTTTTATTTAGAAAATTGCCAGGGGGTTTTACGCTGAAACTGTATGTGATTTCCTGTCTAGTCATATGTTAACTGGGGAAATTGTCGCATCCCAGAAGCGGCGTAACCTGATCCTATCTTTAGCAGCGCTTCTGGGACACGCCTGAAAATGTCCGCGTCGCGGCTGGTTTGAATCACCCCCATAGACTCTAATGGATTCCAATTTGATGCAGTGCCGTTCCACGCCGCTGATGCTTCTAGTGTGAAGTAGGAGTCAGGGATCTCCTTGATAACTCTATGTGGACCATCAACATATAAATATTGGACAATGGGTTTCCATAGACTCCAATAACACATTTTTGAAGAAAAATGGGAGGTGGCCACCACCGCCATTTTGACCGTGTCACAGGTTCCGTCAAGCCCAGACAATTCCACAAAAGGGAAGAGAGGTGGGGCTGAGGGTGGGGCTGTAAGGCTGGGATCAACTGACGACACCCGGTCAAACTAGCTACAAGCTAACCTGAAGCTAACCCAAAGCTAATGCGGAGGTGGGAGCTAAGCTAACGGAGGTAGCAACCTAGCTACAACCTTAGTTAACTGTGCACAACACCAGAGCTTCTGAGTCAGAGATACGCCGGGCTGACCGCTGGGTAAAACCGGGTGGAACACAGAGGTCTTCCGAGAGCTCCACGAGCCGGCAGCGGCACAGCAGACAAGCGCCGCTGCGATCTGAGATGCGCAGAGCTGCCGCTGGGGAGAACTGGGTGGAAAGGTTTCCATCCCAGAGCTCCACAAGCCGGCAGCCCGCGCAGCACACAGAAGCCGCGATCAGACAGAGATGCGCCGAGCTGCAGGGAGGGGAGAACCGGGTGGAAAACATCGGTCTCCCGAGAGCTCCACAAGCCGATAGTCGGAACCCAGCTCCACCAACATGTTATATTTCAACCCATTTTCTAAAGTGCATCATTATGTTAAATGCACTGGGTTTTACCCTATTAAATTTAAATTTCATGGTTAAACAGTACATGTTAAAATCTAAGCTCAGCTCGGCAGTGACCTAAAATACATAAATATAATTTTACTTACCGAAAAAAATGAAGTGGAGACTCCTTGGACGCTCTATTAGTGCAATTAATGCCACAGCAAGTCATTTTGTCCAACAATTGCACAAATGATATCCAAAAAAGAACGCACAAATGCTACAACTAATGGTCTAAGTTGTGAGACTGAAAATGACCGAACAGTTTTCAGGCCAGACCGAGGCTCTACTGAGGCCTTTCCCCGGAGCTAGCTCTGCGGTCACGTAAGTCGGATGCTCATTAATTATACAGAATTTTAGGCTTTAAATACACTTAAACAGAAGAGTGAGAAAAAATTCACCCCCCTCAGAGTTGTCATGAGTGTAAACTAGATAATTTAAACCAAAAACATGTTTTGGTACCAGGCTGTAAACATGTTTATTTCTGCTGTGAAATTGGTGTTTTTAACATGGGAGTCAATGAGGATTTGCTCGCTTCTGACACCAGCCCCCAGCGGATGAGGGTGGAACTGCAATTTTTTTCACTTCCGGGATTGCTTCAATTTTTGAGCCGCATTGTGGGGGCTTGATGTGGACACTCTGGTTTATTTTTTAATCTAATGTCCCCAAAAGTATTTATTTTGAATGGTAAATAGCCTGTATTTATATAGCGCCTTCTAGAGTCCTAGAACCCCCCATGGTTCACACACACATTCACACCCTGGTGGTGATGAGCTACGATGTAGCCACAGCTGCCCTGGGTACACTGACAGAGGTGAGGCTGCCGAGCACTGGCACCACCGGTTCCTTCGACCACCACCAGCAGGCAAGGTGGATTAAGTGTCTTGCCCAAGGACACAACAACAGACTGAGTGGGGCTCGAACCTGCAACCTTCCAATTATGGGGTGAGCACTTAACTCCTGTGCTACTGTTGCCCACTTCTATAGCCATCAACAAGTCAAAGCTTTTATTTATCGTGGGACATACAGTAAGTCAACATTTTCCAGATGAGAAAGCAACAATTTGTAGTTCAGGGTGAAACAATTTTGATACTTTGTCCTAAAACTTAGACATTGAAGCACTTTTGGTGCACTGTGCTGACTTGTCATCACACTTGTGAAGATTAAATTTGATCAGGTCTTCTTACCCAACATGAGCACATGGTCTCGTGCTTTCACAACAGAAATAAGGAGGCGGGTCATTGAAGTGACATGTACTGAGGATGTGGTTGTGTTGGCAACATTTCAGCCACACTTGCTGTTTCTAAATGTCCGATCTTCCCTCATAAGCAAAATAAGCATCCGTCCCCTACTGTGGACTGAAACACAGGGCGTTTAATGTTCTACATATGATAAATAACAATGAAACAGTAGCATGATGAGTTAGCTCTGCTTTTTCCACACTGAATGATCTTGAACAGAAGTGACTTCAGTCAGGAGCAACAACCCTCTTGGGTCACATGGAGGTCACAAATTCAGTAAACTAACGATAATTGCACTAAATTAAACAAGTGCTGCTAACACAAACCACAAACATTATAAAAAAGGATTTAGTAGATACTTTAATCAAACTTATCAGTGAGGTGTTAATCATTAGTTCTGATAGTGGTGTCTTCATCATGTTGCCCTGCACCTCCCTTCTTACCATTTCCTCGTTGTTTACATTTAATTACCTCACTGTTTGAATTTAATAAAGCTTGAAATAAAAGATAAGAGTCAGCTGTTAGAATACTTTTAAGATAATCATCAGTCAGGCCACTTCTCCTGGACAAAATGACTTCATTTAGGAACACGGTTAGGCTGGCAGGACACACAGTTGGAGAACCCGACTTTAGTTCAGATTAACTGGAAATTAGATTTTACGTACCGTCCTGATCAGGATTATCACTCACCAGTTAGAGCTCGAGCAGCATGTTCATTAACGGAAGCCCATTTCTCACAGAACACTGGCGAGGACCGCCTTTGAATATTATAAACATGAAAGGATATCTTGTGAGCTCTAAAGTAGTTTAAATGTTTTTTTAATTATTAAAACAAAATATTGAGTAGCTGGCAGCTGAGTAATTGGTTTTTACTTTGGCCAGGAAAAGATCTTCCTTCATCTGTTTGTCTTTAGTTTTTAATTTAAGCTAATTAGTACATATCTTTAAGTTAAAGGGATACTTTACAACTTTTTCATCTTTTTAAGTCAGTTTCTTGAGCCAGTATGTGCTAAAATGACCCTTTACAGGGTTAGTGAAAGGCCACCCAGCCCCTGTCACCTCCTGTTGCCACACTCTGTCCTGTCTCCCCGTTCTGTTCAGTCATGTGTCCCTGTTAATTGCACCCATCTGCCTCTCGTCACCCAATCACCCAAGCTCCCAGCTCCTCATGTATTTAAACCCTCAGTTCTGTGTGTTTTGTCGGTTCATTGTTTCCATGTCCTGCAAGCGTTCATCATTAAAGACTTTTACATGTTCCAGTTTGCCTGCCTGTCTGCCTGCCTGCTTCCTTCCCAGCATTTGTATCCTCACAACCGCTCAACTCACCTGCACCGTGACACCTGTGGCTAGAATATTCCACCTGCACCTTCAGACTGACGGCCCGCTCTGTTGGGACTTGGGGGGGGGGGGGGGGGGGGGGGGGGGGTGCTGGTGTATCATAAAACCACACAAACAAATTAAATCTAATCAAACATCAATGCACACCTGCGCCATTCCCACCCCTCCTCCAGTCGGACCGGGGTGTGCGGTTCGGGGGCCACAAAGAAGAGCCCCGTGGGCCGCCTATTGAGCACTGCTGCCGTAGGCCATCCTTTAGGCTTTCTGTCTTTGAGTAAAAGCAGGTAGTCGATAACTGTTGTTGCTGTGAAGGCGATCTTAGCCGCTCCATGATGACGTGTCTTTGCAGCTTTGTAAACAGCTCGAAAACGCCGCTCAGTCTAGGTATGCATGCTCCGTGTTTGACGCCTGTACGAAAGCGGATGTCTAACGGTGCTCAGTCCAAAAATATTTACGAATATCCTGCATTACTTCACAGAACAAGTTCAGACTCCCACTTTCCCAGATTTCTACAAAAGAAAAATCCATAATTATTAAATCTCACTATGTTTAATCCGACTGTAAACCTACATGTAAGTTTTACATCTACCCCCCCCCCTCAGGCAACGGTGTTGTCATCCATCTTCCAGGCCTGTTTGAAGAGGCAGAAAAAAACCTACGCAAAGGGAAAGGTAAGCAGCACCTGGTTATTTGAGTGTTATTTGTGACCATCAAGGGTCGTGTTTTTAAACACAGTGTTGACTCAAGGTATATGTCTGTGTGTTTAGGTCTAACTGACTGGGAGAAGAGGCTGATCATCTCAGATAGAGCACATATTGGTGAGTCCTTCCCCGACAGCTCCCATAATTATTTTTATTTAAATCTACGAGCGGAAACTCGATTGTACGCCCGAAGAAATGCTCGTGGATGTGTGAGTCTTGCTTTCTCTGAGGTGTGTGAGAGTGTGTGTCCCCTCTCTCCCTCCTCTGCAGTGTTTGACTTCCACCAAGCCGTCGATGGCATTCAGGAACAGCAGAGGCAAGAGCAAGCAGGCAAGAAGTAAGAAACCTCTTGCTTAAAAGAAAATGGTCCAAACACACATAGCACAGAACACATGAATCTCATTCACAGAAGTAGAGAACAGATCTTATCAACTGCTACTTTTCTAGGAAATTGATGCATTATAATAAGATGCACATAGGCCTGATTCTGGTATAAGGTAAAAAATAGAGGTAGACAAATGTGGAGTTTGTATTGTTTATGGTCTTAAATAAATTAGTGTTTGAGACAGAGTTGGTGAATTAGCTCAGATGGTTTTAGATTAGAAATCCAGAGGTGAGACCCTGCTGGGTTGGAAGAAAAAACTCAGAGAACAAAGCTCACATCATGAGAAAAGCTCATTAGCGTTGCTCTGCTAACAGCACATTTGAGTCATTTACCCCCCTCCCTGAGAACTGGCTCGCAATGTCCGGTGCTGAATCATAGCATGAACCAGGGGCGGATTTAGGACTGAAGAAGATCCGGGGCTTAACACACACACGCACGCACGCGCTCGCGCACACACACACATGACACGCACTAGTCAACATCATATATATTTGTCTTGTACCACATAATTTTTAATCTGAAGCTACATATTAAGCATTTTCAGGGCAGAGTATTGTTCCTGTTAGTGTTTAGTGTGAGATGATAGTAAATATTCCCTTTCTTTCCCCAACAACTTTACCTGATAGTAAGCTAACTTTAGGCAAACCAGCAGCACAACAAATATTTTCAAATAAGACTCACAAACCTGAGTCAGCACCAGTCTCATCAAAGCTGGGGTTCTGTCGTTGTACTTTTGGCCTAAAAAACGTCCTTATGTCCATCTTCACTCATGCGTTTCAGGCAGAGACTGTAGAAGAAGCCGGCTGCTGAAGGGCTTCTTCTTCAGTGGTGGAGGCTCAGGCAGGCTGTATACAAACTACTGCCAGCTGCTCCCTCTCTGTTGGACTTTGGTACTGCATGTTACTTCCGCGATTTAGATCCGGGGCTTTTCATAAAACATCCGGGGCTTGAGCCCAAGTAGCCGGGCCTAACGCCGTCCCTGGCATGAACGAATCACTCAGAAAACTAACGATTCACTTACCCTCATTACTCTCACCTGGCTCTCAGCTCAAAAACGAGTCACTCACAGTACGACTCCTGGCTCTCAGCTGAAGAACCGGTAAAGAGTCTGACTTAATGTTGTTACGTGGCCGGTAACGGTAAAGTCATTCTTGAGTATGACTTGCACATCACTACAAAGCCCCCAATCTTACAATTGTGTGTGTGTGTGTGTGTGTGTGTGTGTGTGTGTGTGTGTCTGTGTGTGTGTGTGTGTGTGTGTGTGTGTGTGTGTGTGTGTGTGTGTGTGTGTGTGTGTGTGTGTGTGTGTGTGTGTGTGAGGGACAGAGCGACAGAGGTTATAAAATCTCACGGGGATCTAACGATAAGTGTTTTGAATCACAATTAAGACATTTTCTAAGACCAAAAAAGCACACATCAAAATATTTTCTGAGCTTGTTTTGCTGAAGTGATAAAAACATTCAGTATAAAGCTATGCAACTTTTTTTCATAATTTTAAACCATTTTCTTGAGCCAGTGTGTGCTAAAGTGACCCTTTGCAAGTTGAACTCATTAACCGCCAGCCGTTTCCTGATTAGAAAAGCCCCTGACTGCCAGAGTTTTTACTGTTTTTGAAGTTCACAGAATATTGTGCTCTATGATCATGTAAACGCCAAAATGACCAAAAGAAAGAGTAGACTCACCTCTTACATCAGGAAGAATCAGCCTGTTTCTTGTGTTATCTGTTCTTTCAGAATTCGTTGTCGAATTGTGAGAAGAAGAAGCTTTTCCGGTTTGCTCCTTGCTTTTTTCACAGCAGCAGCCCAAAAGATCTAACGCATGGATTTTCTGCTTCCTGATCACGTGACGTGTGACATGCGTGGATGAAGATCAGCTTTAGAGATGTGATGTTAATTCTTATAGTGCGGGGTCTCGTTCCGACGCCCGCCCTGTAAAAAAATACTATTGATGACTTTAGTAGTCAGTGGCAGCGAGCTGTTGGATTTAAAATGACAAATTTAGTTGTCAATGGCAGTGGATGAGTTAATTAAATGTACCACAGAAACCCCATCACCCTCTGTAACCAGAATACTGCACTTGCAACTTCAGACTGGCATGCCACCACCTGTTGGACTTAGCTGTTGACATCTGCATTCTGCTTCCAGAGCATTTCCTGCATGTTTTAGATCATGAACACAGCTGATTTGTTTGATTTAGTGATGAATCACTCCTACAGACACTAGGGATGTGTATTGATGAAATTCTGGCAATACAATATGCATCACGATACGGGGGAGACGATACAATATATCACGATATATTGCGATGTAGGGCTGCAACAACGAATCGATAAATTCGATGAAAATCGATTACTAAAAGCGTTGGCAACGAATTGCGTCATCGATTCGTTGTGTCGCACAACTCTTCCAAAAGCGCCCCCCCCTTCCCGCCCGCCGTTGCGCGCAGACCAGAGCAAGTCAGATCAGCGCGAGGGAGAGCCGGCAGATCAGCGCGAGGGAGAGCCGCAGATCAGCGCGAGGGAGAGCCGGCAGATCAGCGCGAGGGAGAGCCGGCAGATCAGCGCGAGGGAGAGCCGGCAGATCAGCGCGAGGGAGAGCCGGCAGATCAGCGCAAGGGAGAAACGGGAGATCAGCGCGAGGGAGAGCCGGCAGATCAGCGCAAGGGAGAAACGGGAGATCAGCGCGAGGGAGAGCCGGCAGATCAGCGCGAGGGAGAGCCGGCAGATCAGCGCGAGGAAGAGCCAGCAGACTTGCGCTGCTGCGAACTGGTTCCGCATTGTTGCGCAGCGATCCAGGCAGCTGCTTCCAGCGCACGGTCCATTCTCAAAGTGGCGCAACCAAAAAACTATAATTAGCACACGATCGTTCATGTCCGCACATGTTCTCTATTTTCTGTCTTATTTGTGCCTGAAGCTCGCTACTGCGGAGCTCATCACCTGTGCTGTGGTGATGTCACCTCACGCAGCATCGAAAACGCGCTCTGCGCTTTTCGGTCAGGAGATCCCTTTGATCTGCTCAAAAGTAACTGATGAGGTGAAAAGGTAAGAATCCAGGCAACAGATTTTCTGGAGAATTAAGAGGAGATGCAGGAAGATGAGAGACAGACAGGACAGGAAAATAGTTAAATAAAAACAAGAAAACAAAACAAAGTGTTGAAAAGTCAAATGTAGGTAGATTTATCTCCACTACAAGTGTTTACCTGTATAAAACAATAAGTTATACACATGTTATATTTATACATCTGATACAATTCAGATCACCTTCAAAACTCAGTCACACACCCAGGGCCGTTTCAAGACATTTTGGGGGCCAAGGCAAAATGCCCCCCCCCCCCCCCCCCAATAACTGGGCTCCCCAGAAGCCTCTGTGTAATTCATGCCCTCTCCAGGAGTGTTAGTTATACAGTGTTTATAAAAGCCCCTCAGACATTGCTGACATGTTCTAATATTATCAGATGAAAAACTAAATTATCAGACATGCTGTCTCATCTGCTTCTTTTATAAACTTGCAAAAAGTAACAAAACCATTTGAAAGCCACTATTTGTGGATTCTCTGAAAGTTTCCATGGAGTGTGTGACAACTTATTTTTTCATTGATCCTATCGTCTAATCTCACAGCTGAAACAAGCATCCTGAATAATCTGTGCACAGGAAGCTTACCGATGCTGTAGTAAAACAAAAGGTATAATAATTTATTATTAATAAAACCTTGTTGCAGCACTAAAGCAGAAAAATTAGATTTTGCATTAAATATGCAAAATATTTACATATGAATTGTTTTAGAGCCCTTTAATTGGCAGAATCTGATATTAATTTAGTTCTTACAAAAAATGGGTCCCAACATGGTTTGTGTGGCGTTGCCATAGAGTGACATCATAGGCACAGATCCCCTGTCCTCTTGTTTGGAAATGGAAATATGGTCACCCTACATTAAACAAACTGTCCACCCGGGCTTTTGCACTGCACAGAGACGCTTCGCTGCCTACGACTGAACGTCAGTTGAGAGTCAGTCTCATGCAGACTGACCAATGAAGAGAGGGCCTCAAGTTAAGACCCTCTCCTCATTGGTCAGTCCACACGAGGTGGGTCAAAGGTTACTCTGGGTGGGTTACGTGTTGTCAGGCATTCAAGTATTGAGTATATTTACTGCATATTACAGTAAAATATTCTGTATGTGACCACATTATGGTGATCCTCGGGTCGTAATGATGGAGCCCTTGAATATTGTTGCCCAGGGTACAACAAAGTGTTAATCTGGCCCTGGTTCCGCCGTCACATTCCCGCAGAAACTGGTTGATCACACCGGGGCCAGACTACTAGCATGTGGTTTTACAACCACAATGTCCTCAGAAGCAAAAACGCTTTTAAAAGGGAGGGAGGAGTCCTAACTGTTGCTGCAGGCGTGTTGTGTGAGAGTGCAGTTATATACTGGTTAATATATTTTTGGGTTCAGTTGCTTTCATGTGGCCTAATGTGAGTCTATTTGGGATCATTGGAATGATCAGCAGCATTTCTTGATGTGACTTTATGGCAGTTGCCCAGGGCATCATCGCAAGGAGGATGGCATTCATTTACTTTTGTTTTATTTGGTATTTTTTCAGTCATTTTTGGAAATAGTGATCAATTTTGATTAATTCACAGCCTATGTTTAATTACATTTAAAATAAATGTCAACAGATGAGATCAAACAAAACAGATGAGAATTGCCCTTAAGCTGTTTAACTTGGACCAAGCATTTTAGGTCACAGATAGATGTAGCTTAGGGTCTCTGTCTATACACCTTATAAGACAATTTAGGTGATGGCATGTTGTTTTTCTGCTATTGAACTGTTTTCTAATAATGTTGTGTTAAATAAAGTGAAGGAAGGAGAGAAATAACGTTTCCCTAGCAGTTTTAAAAAATTTCCCCATGTAATCTGATTAATCGATTAATCGTGTCGAGACCCCATCCGATTAATCGATTATCCAAATAATCGTTTGTTGCAGCCCTATTGCGATACATTCAGCCAGTCAATAGTAGTGATTTCTTTAGACTGAATCTATTGTAGGAAATTTCAATAAACTGTCCAAACTGATACTTAACATGTTTATCGTGATGTATCTGAACCATAATAAAGAGATTTACATTTCAATAGTGGAAACAAAACCCACTGCACACTGCTGCCAACTAGAAGTCGGTGTTTGAATTGCACCAAAGGAAATGAGAATACACAAATGTTTGCATGTGAATTCTTCCCAAAAGTCGATACACGGCTTTTGAATATCGATATAATATTGCACGAAACAATATCACGACATATTGCCATATCGATATTTTCTTACATCCCTAATAGACAGTAAAGAAGACTGGAGAGACATTCCAGCAGTTAAATTAAAGTGTTAAAAAGATGAATGCACAGTGAGGAGATGGGTTTTATTTTCTATTTGACCACAGAGAATTCATAACTAACACTAGGGGGTGCTATCAGTAAGCAAAACTACCAAGTGTGTCTTTAACACAAGCAACTTTCCAGATGTCAGAATCATTGTGTTTGATTTTTATTGAAGTGTTTTTTATTTAACTAATCATGTTGAATTTTGTCATTAATCTATTTGTTACATGTTCATTAGTAATGTTTTGCACTTCTCCACATTATGAGCTCTATTTCCTTTGTTTTACAGGTGATTAAAAAAACACACACACATTAACTTGTGAAATATACAAATTTTAAGGGAAGACATGAAGGGAAGTGTTGGGGTTAGGATGAGTCAATATAAGCTGTGTAACAATTTTTTTTCAGAATCGCATACAAACATTTACTGTGTTTATTTGTATGTGCTTCAATTCAAACTCTGACTGCTAGGTGGCAGCAGATTTTGCCGCCTTTGTTCTTATGTAACAACAAGATCACGCTATAACGAAGATGCGTCTGGCCTGAGTTTTCTAATTTAGTCTTAAAAATTGCAAATATGATTTTGTTTTTAGTATTTTTAGCAGAGGTGTGGGCTCGAGTCACATGACTTGGACTCGAGTCAGACTCAAGTCTTTATTTTAATGACTTCTGACTTGATAAAATCTATAAAGACTTACGACCACTCGGACTTGAACGCCAATGACTTGCGACTTGAATCGATTTGCATCTGTTGACTTGATGATGACTTGAGCAAATTTGATATTTTGGCACAAAAGCGATGCACGATGTGGACAAAAGTCATAAATCATTCTTCGTTCTGGATTTGATCTTGTTCTGCTGAATGCAGCAGCACTTTGTTTATAATCGGTTTCAGTTGCACTTTCTGCTTGTTTGAGCAAATAAATGAAACTTTAAAAAGCTTTAATTCTGGAATTTATTTATTATCATTGTCATTAAATTTAAGTTGGACAGATGACTTGATAAAGACTTGAAAACTGAAAGTTAAGGACTTGGACTTCCACATCATCGACTTTGGACTCGACTTGGACTTGATTGTCTTTGACTTGGACTTGACTGGAAAGACTTGACTTACTTGTGACTTGCAAAGCAGTGACTTGGTCACACCTCTGATTTTTAGTGTGCCAGATTATTGCAAATTCTCACCCCTTTTTGTCAAGATGTCAGACTAGATTATTCTCACAAACAGCCCAATATCTCATAAAAATAAAACTGTAAAAGTCAGTAATGTCTGTAGCAGTGGTAATGCTACATTCAGCTTTTACTCAGACATTTCGTACACACTGTAACTGGATACTGCGTGTTTTACTCTGGCCGGTGCTGGGTGTGAAACCCAATAACCACAGAGGATCTTGGTCTATTTCTGTTTTGTAGTTTGCATACGGTTGTGCCAAGCGTCCCTTTTAATAGGAGTTACAGGATGTACATGCTGCTGCAGTAAAATGTCTGTTTGTCTTTTTTGAGTCTTTTCCATTTATTTTACAGGGTGACATACGGCTGATGCTCTAGAGGAGATATTTTGTGTTTTGGTGTTTTTGGACGTACAAATTTGGTCTCTGTTCTTCATTAAACAATGACCTGAAACTTAAGTAAAGTTGGGCAGATGAATGGATGAAAGCTTTTTTTCAGTCGTATTAGATGCAAGGATCTTGCTGAATTTTAAGTAGTAAAACTTACTGCTTTACTGGACTTACATGATGAAGTTTGTTGCTACGACACAGCAAGCTGTGAATGCATGTTAAGGTGTTTCTGTTCTCCTCTCTGTCCAGCCTCGGGACTACAAAGAAGGGGATTGGTCCGGTGTACTCTGCCAAGGCAGCTCGTAGCGGTCTCAGAATATGTGACTTACTGGCAGACTTCCATCAGTTCTCAGAAAGGTCAGTCATACAGTTTCAGATTACTTTAATATATAAGGTAGGTGCACTTAAACACACCTGCTCAGCCTGTTCTACTGTTCCACCTAACCCTGACTCACTGATTAAACATTTACTTTCAAAGAAATAATAATAACACATTCATTTGTAAGCTCCTTTCGGGACTCTCAAGGCCACTTTAACAGAAATGACATAATACAGGTTCAAACACTCTTTGTTAAGCTAAAAATACAAATCAAACAGTTAAACAGACACAAGTTAAAAATGAAACAGTAAAATGCTAAACTAACAATTCAAGTTAAAATTATCAACAGATAAGTCATAAATAATCAATCAGTAGATCATTATCATGAAGAAATACATTGCACATTGACGCTTAAGTAAAATCTACATAATATAACAGTAGGAAGTAGATAGGTTACATTAGGTATTCGAGAAAGCCTGCCTGAATAATGTTTTCAGCGGTGATTTAAACTGGGTGATAGAAGTGGCCATATGGATTGTCTGATGGGAAAACGATTCCATAAACGCGGATTAGTTGAACTGACGCTAAAGTAGATTCTTATTAATTATGTAGCAGTTCATGTAGAAATCTTGGTTGGATAAGTCAGTTTTGTGTTCTTTTTGTAGCTCAGGCTAAGTGATTTTTATTGCATTTGTCAAGTAATTTGCCTTGAAAATTAAGTGGTTTTAATCGATTTAACTGAATTTGTTTCAAATGAGTCAAGCACACATAAAACTAAAAAAAATCATTATGTGTTATCAAAGTTTATCCGAATGAGACATTGACAAAAACAGATAATATAGAGATATATAATAAAATTATGCTGTTACAGTGAATCTGCAAACAAGCTTCAGTATCTTCCACATCCACAGGAATTGGAAACTCACATTGTCAAGGGAAACTATAGACCGCAAAACACCAGTTGCCATTTTCTAGGTCCAAACATCTTTTATTGTTTACGTGATTTCAAATGGTGTTTTTCTTTTTGGGACTCTGGTAGTTTGTCCTAAAGTTGAAGTGGTAGCAGCCAACTGTTTCTCCTTCCCTGATAGTACTGAGCAGAGAATCTCTCACACCAGTGATGTTCTGTTGCTAAATACGTGAGTGAGTCATGTGTGCAGGACCCAGGGATGTGCGGAAGTGTGGCGAGACCATCAACTGGATGGTTCAATAGTTGTTTTCAGTCCAAAACGTGTTATTGGTGGAGTTTTTTTTTCTTTATCTCCAAAGTATATTTATGGCCATACTATGTTAAAACAATGTTTAGAGACATGAAAACAATGTTTTAAGGTCATTTGTTTTACAAATTTGCAGTTGCAGCTTTAAAGTGTCAGTTTTTTAAAAACAAACAAACAAAACAAAAAAAGATTAAACAGAAACCCAAAATTGAATGTCACTTTTTTGGCATTTTCATATTTTTGACAAAAATTAAATTAAACCAACCAATAATCATTCATTACTTTATAATAGTGACAGAATACAGCAAACACTCAGACTACTGTACCATTTCTGGTAACGCTTCCTTTTACAGTCCCCTAATTACTAAGTACTTACATGGTAATCACATAGTAAGTTAAAGTGTATTATTGTGTAATTAAAGTGTATAAATGTAATAAAGTGTAATTATTGTGTAAAGCAGTATTTACTGGTAATGATTAATACAATAAAACTAGAATTGAACCTGAGTTATGTGGTAATAACCGTTTAAGAACTCAGAAACAATAATACACTGTAACTTAATATGTAATTACCATTTAAGTACTTAGTAATTAGGGGACTGTAAAAGGAAGTGTTACCCTATTTCTTTTCTTGGTATTTTTTAAATGGTTTGGAGGCCATAAAGGCTTTCCATGCCAGGTGGGTGGAGCTTTGTATTTATTATTATTATTACAGTATTATTATTATTATTATTAATACACTTCATTCCAGACACAAGTCCATAGAAAATACAACAAACATTACAATGAGAATGAAATAACAAAAGAAAACATATATCATGTTGAGACCTTACAAAACATAAACTTTTACAACTTTTACTAGGATTTACTATCAAATCAAATCAAAGATACTTTATTAATCCCAGAGGGAAATTAGAGTTTCAGTACACACAATTCAGAGATCAGACATACATGGGCAAGACACATGACAAGAATTGGTGACTGTGGTCATTCGCAACCCTGAGTCGCGCTACCTTAATAGAGATAAGAGGGTTACATGAGGATTGGTTCAGGTGGAGGGGAAAAAAGGCACTTCAGAGCTACCCTCCACCAGGAGGGCAGCTTTGCTCTGCAAAAAAACGCCTCAAACAGATATGCAACAGACTTCAGACAACACAACATAGGTGTCCACTAGGTGGGGTGGTGGGTTGGGACTATCCCCACTTCAGTTCCTGCAGCCGCGATGAGCAGTGCATGTCACTTCAGTGTGGATAGGGGGAGAAGCATTGAGGGTTGGAGGGTTGCAGTGACCCTGGAACGTTTCAGCGGCCTTCCCGCAGTCCCGCCCAGGCTGGGAAAGGATACAGAGTTGAGTTGCCATAGCGACGGCACATTCCACATATCTTCTTAGGGGGGGAGTTTTCGTTGGAGCCTTGCTGGCTCAAGGGCGCCAGATTCAGATTAGAAATTGTTTTGGGGCCAGACAGAGATAATTTCCTCTCTGTCTTACAGTTTGTTGGTCCTCAACCTCTCAAAATCCCAATAATGGACATTTATCTATCCCAATCCGTGCCGATTTGTCCACTCTCTCCTTGATGGCATCCATCTTTTGTGCCAAAGAATGAATCTCCGCCAAAGTCCCAAGCTTACAATTCATCTCGACAATTATTTGAGTCTGTGAATTCACAGCGCGGTGCAAACCATCTCTGAGCTCCGGGATCAGGCCAATATTCTTCGACAGCTCGTTAATTTTCCGGTAAGCCAGGTAGCCTCCAAGGCCAATGAGCAGGAAACCTGACACCAACACCACTGTAACGGAATTGAAGTGATGTAACTATCTAGAGTTGTATTTTAATACACTGTAAGTAGACCACTTTTTATAATCAGAAGAATAGGCTGTTTTTATCATCAGGGAGTTTAATTAAACACTCTGTATTGACTTTGAGACAAGAAAAGAGAGAGAGTTGGGATCGTTTGAGAATCTTTAATTTCTTAATTATAAATTCTAAACAATCTACCAGGACTAACTCTGTGATGGATGAAAATGGATTTGGATGTTGTGTTGGTGCGTGTGTGTGTGTGTGTGGTTGGTTCAGACTCCTTAGGCTGACGTCATTGAATCTGGTAGTCTTTGTTATGACTAGATATCACGAGGCTTATAAAGTGATGACATGAGCTGCTATTTTGCGGTGTACGTACCCAGTGGGGGGCCTCCCAGGTAGATCAGGAAATGCCAGGTCTGGAGACCTCGGATGTGTACTGGAGCTGTCGGAGCAGCGGTCGCAGCACGTCAAAGCCCGTCTGAAGGGTCGACCCCGGTACCGATCGGCAGCGTCAGCAGGTGCTCTTATTTTGAAAGGATGTCGTCTGGTTGTTAAACGACGAAAATCTCCAACTTCACAGTTCTTAGTTTAAAGAAGAAAACACATCTGGCCAGGCTGTGCTTCTCTTTGGGATGACGGTGAATAGAACTGAAGTCAAAATGGAACTGACTTTAAAATGGCGTTGCCTTGTTTTATATCTCTGAATTGTTGATAAGTTTTAGTAAAGCGGATTGGATACTTTAAGTCAACAAGCCAGATTCTCCTGCGGCAGCCGAAAGCTCTGATTGGTTGGAACAATGTGTCATGCGTTTCTATGGAGATGAGGATCAGTCTGTCTGTGCAATAGTCCTGTTTTCATTAAACATAAATCATGACATATTTATTTCACAGATCATTCACTTGATTATTATTGATCAACATCTGTTTCGAATAGCTTTAATCACAAATTAAGTACTTTGATTATTGAAAGCGTTCTTCTTCTCCTTCGGACTCTTCTCCTGGAATATAAACAGTCTGAGGAACACCCGACCTTGGCGTTTTCAAAACGGGTTTTACTGTGCACAGGGGGCAGCTGTGTGGAGCTGAAAATGATGAACTTCATAACCTTACACCACGAATATCCACACATCTTCAGAGTCCTCCACAGACAGCTGAGAAAGACAGATCAAGTTCCACTGTTTCCAGGAGTCCATGATGCGTCCAACTGGGTCTGTCCTGACGGGGCATCCGGGAGCCCCTTCTCCCGTTGTCATCGTTGAAAAAAATGTATCAATCGTGTTGAGAGACCAACTGACGAGATCCATTTAAGTGAATTTCAGTTTCCAGTTTCCATTAAAATGCAGAAGCAGCCGTGCACCCAGCACACACAGACAGACAAAGGCCTTGAGGATAAGATATGGAGGAGAGGAGGAAAAAAAGCGTCTGCACCCTCCAAGAGCCAGAAGCCACAATTATAGAGTTCTCAGTTTCGTCCATAATTTCCTGGTTGGGACTAAATAGATTATGTTAAGTAAATGAATCCCTGTTGCCTGCTACAGGTATAAAGTTCTGGCTCAGCAGTACAAGTCGATGTACCCATCCCTGGAGATCGACATAGAGGGAGAGCTAGTTAAGTTAAAGGTAAATAAATTAATAACAAAAGGAGAATTAATTGTGTTAAATTTTCTTAAGGGTTTATATGTTTTGCCATAGGACTACGTGGAGCAGCTTAAGCCCATGGTGAGGGACGGTGTGCACTACATGTACGAGGCTCTTCATGGCCCTCCGAAGAAAATCCTGGTGGAAGGAGCCAACGCAGCTCTACTGGACATAGACTTTGGTTGGTAAATCAGTGTGTGAGCCATGCTTTCTGCTAACGTTGTTCCAGATCATCTAAAAGTTTGTATTGCTCTTGATAAAAGCCTGCTTGGAGCTTAGAGAAGGGACAGTGGTGGTGAGTGTAAATGTTTGAAACATAAAGGCACATGCTAAATTCACTCAGTGTGTCCTGACTGCATGAGCACGGACACCTGGTGACAGCCGCCTGTGAGTTGGTCAGACAGAAGATGGGTTTTTGTAAGGCTGCTCCTAGAGCACAATGGTAGTACATTTCTGTTTTAATAATGACACACACGACCCAGCCCTGTATCAGAGCGGACCATGAGGAATGACCACCATCAACACAGTCTGAATCACTGTACTTGAACGTCTCATTTCAGGGCTTGAGAGCATGTTTCACACACACACACACACACACACACACACACACACACACGCTTGCTGGTTTCTGCTGTTATTCAAAAGCGTGACGAGTTTTCCTGACTGGTTTGATTTCAGGGACGTATCCGTTCGTGACGTCGTCCAACTGCACGGTGGGCGGGGTGTGCACTGGCCTCGGCATGCCGCCTCAGAACGTTGGAGAGGTTTACGGCGTGGTTAAAGCGTACACCACCAGAGTGGGCATCGGTGCTTTCCCCTCAGAGCAGTGCAACGTAAGAGGATACACAGGCTGATGCAAAACATGAATGCTGTCAAGGGTGTATGTCACAGGAAAAGCAAGGTGTTTAAAGTTTTACAGATTCAAAAAGAGAAGATAATACACTGTTTTTAGGAAGAGGGCATCTACAAAATGTGTTAAACAGCACCACCTAAAGGATGCCATGCTGAATCATCATCAGCTGAAACACACACACACACACACACACATTTTTTACGCTCGATACTTGAGACTTTTTCTTCTTATGACTAAGGATTAGGCCAGGTTTTAACTATGGGATAGTTTTAGTTTTGCAGCAGAAAATGACAATTGGAATGTTTTTTTTAGGACATCGGAGAGCTGCTTCAGTCTCGGGGGAAGGAGGTTGGCGTGACAACGGGCAGAAAACGACGATGTGGTTGGCTGGATCTGGTGCTCCTCAAATATGCACACATGATTAATGGCTTCACTGCGTACGATAACATATTGCAGATTATCTTTTTCCCTTAAGATTTTTTTATTGTGTATATTTATTTTCTACTTAAATCGTTTTATATTTGTTAAGTTGTTCCTCTTCTTTCTTTCAGTTTAGCTCTTACAAAACTTGACATACTTGACGTATTGCCAGAGATCAAAGTGGGCGTAGCTTACAAAGTTGATAACGAAACTATACCTCACTTTCCAGGTGAGTTTATGATTTAATGAAGGATTAAAAAACTTCTTATAGTATTTTACATGGATGCTGTGAATAAACAAGTGTCTTTTTCTTGTTTGTTTTAACACAATTGAAAGTGGAAAGTTAATGGTTTGATACTGGTTGAATGATTTGTGGCAGCCAATCAGGAAGTGTTGCACCGTGTTGAGGTCCAGTATGAGACGCTGCCTGGCTGGAACAGCGACACCTCGACCGCTAGAAGCTTCGAGGATTTGCCCGAGAGCGCTCAAAAATATGTACGCTTCATCGAGGATCATGTGGGAGTGCCTGGTAGGTTCACATGAGTGCACGCATGCTCATCTTATGACACACATACTGGAAATTGAGTTATTATTGTGAAGGGGAAACTTGTTATTTTAAGATCTTGATTATTTTTTTCTTTATTTGAGTTAAGTACAACAAAATAACTTTAAAAGTTTAAAAAAAAGTCTCTTGTGGTTGGTAAAGCACCTCTTTCCTGCTTCCGTCTTCCTCAGTCAAATGGATCGGCGTGGGGAAGTCGCGAGAGTCCATGATCCAGCTCTTCTAAAGAGAGGAAGAGGACTAAGCGAAGACTACACACAGCAGCGTATCAGCTGCACCCTTCACCTGAAGTCCCTCGCTCACAGAGCCGAGCTGCTCTGACAGAGACACGGCAGTTTCTGTTCTTAATGTCTCATCTCTGTCCCACTGAACTGTCTCTTGTTAGAGACTGATACACAAGACTTCCATCAGACTGACCACTGTGTGTGAAAAGTTTCCAACGTCTCCATCAGATTTTATGAATAGTTTTAACTGGAGGGTAACAGCATCCATTTTGGTATTTAATCGTAGCGTTAATTTCAGTCAGCTGCTTCAGATTTGAGAGGAAATGAGGAAAGACGAAGACGCAGGATGCTCTCTGAAGGAAACCTTCAGCTGGTCAAACTGACTTCACGTGTACTTTTGTTGATTTTTGCTGATTGAAATGCTCTGTGCCAGTTTGGGTTAAATCACTTGTAATGTCGGCACCTTAGATCCTTTGGACTCTTACCTGCTTTACGGTTTGTTTTCTGTCAGGAGTTCTGACATCAGAAAGGGATCCTTTTCGTTTTCAAATTCTCCATCTTGTGTTTTTGTACATGTTTGCACATGTATTGCCTGTCATTCAACCAGAAGAACACTTCGTAGTAAGCTTTCACTAAATGCCTCAATCACCACACATTTAGCCATACGTTCACCTCATGTGATTGTTTCTTATTATCTTTGTTTTCTTTGCACTTTTGGTACAAAGCTCTGATAATGTTGGAGGACGGTAAATGAACTGATAAATATGATTTAAGATATTTTGTTGTGATTGCCTTTGTTAAGTGACACATTTGTAAGAGCATAATTGTAGCTTTTTACACTAGTTTCATTCAGTGTTGTGCTTTCTAATCATTTAATGGTAATTTACCTATTGGAAGTTGGAACTCTGCAATGTGTTTTTTCAATGCTTGCGATGTTCAAGGACCATTCATTCGTCTTTTTTCTGCTGCTTATCCAGGGTAAGGTTGTAGGAGAGTTTTGTAGGAGTTTCTCAGTCATCTGTCCCAAGTTCTTAGAATATAAAAAGTTTAATTAAAGCTCACTAATGAAACACCCCGTCCCCCAATCCTCCCTCCAGAGGATTATTGGGACCCTCAGCATCCCGGTGTACTTAAAACAACACACTCGGACTAAAACGAGGTCCTGACAAGGACAGAACCCTCATGCAAGGGATGTCAGAAAACATTGATACACTGAAGTATCACGATATTTAGTGTTATGATACCAGAAAGAGCAGAGCAGAGTATTGATTTTTTTTGGGGGGGGGGGGGGTTACATGCAGACATGTACTGTATTTTGTGTATTTATTTATTTTTGACTGACTGCTAGGTGACAGAAGTTTTTATCACTTTCACTCTGACGGAACAAGATGTGGCCTGGGGTAGCACATGCCACCATTGAATTCTGATTGGCCACCCCACTTGAGTCCCATTTAAATTTACTTTACGTTTGACAAAAGGCTTGGTGTTACAAAACCCAAGACAGCTGTTGGCAGCATGTACCTTTAACATTTGTTTCCAGCCTCAGGCCTACAGAACATTCTGTATTATTTTTATTCCTTTTTATTCTTTTCATATTGACATAAAAAGTTTTTAGAATCTCAGTCCCACTCCACTCCAATGGGTGGCGGTAATGCACCAACAAGAGGCTCTCTAACCAACACAAAACAGCTCGAAGAAGAATGAGGAGGAGGAAAAGAAAGATTTTATTAGAAACTACCGGTGCCCCCCATGCCACACCTGGGCCTCCCTATTTTAAAAGGCCTGGACACGCCACTGGATTCAGTCTTAAAAATTGCAAATATCCTCTGAAATTTTTGGACTGTAATATGTCATTTTTTTTCTCCCCTATTATGTGATGTATATCATACGGCTTTCTGGAGGAAGGATTGATTTTCTACCTGGGAGTCCATACAACACACACACACACACACACACACACACACACACACACACACACACACACACACACACGCACGCACACACACAAACAGGTTAAAGAGGTAAATCCAGACATTCCTCTCCCCATCCAACAAGTTCTGAGTGTGTCCCTAGTGTCTCATACCTGTGAAGGTTGTTTAAAATAAAATAAGTAAGCAGAAAGCATATATATATATATATATATATATATATATATGTGTGTGTGTGTGTGTGTGTGTATATATGTATATACATACATACATATTGTATAAGCAAGAAACCCACCAATAAGCAACAATATTAGTGTTTCCACAGTAAGATAAACCTCATTAAAGATTTTTCCTCATTTTCTGAGACACTTAGATGCTTTTTCCGAATTTGGTCGACTCAATGATTCCAACCTTGAAACCGACAACTAACTTATTTTTAGGGAGGATGCAGATCTGATGAGTAAACAGTCTAAAGAACATCTGGAAATGAGAATAGGTTAGGTCCTACTGCAGACTAACAAAAATGTTATTATTCTGATGAAATGTCATTAAAATTATCAAAAGAAAATGTCATTGTAATAACTTAAATTAAATACTACCTGTATAATACTTAAAGACTTTCATAATTGAAGATCTATCCAGTTAATATCTGACTGGTTCTAATTTAGTGTGCCATCAAATGCATCAATTAACAACATGTTGTAGCTTGTTCCTGTTGGGAACCAACCGCAAGTTGCACACTAGAGGGAGCTATTTAATCACAAATATCTGTTAAACTCAAACTGAGAGGTCACGGTTCTTTCACTGGGAATCTTTATGCAGACTGATTTTTATTTTCTCTTTAATTTTGGAGTCAAACGAACCAGACTCGCAGCTAAAGTCAGACGGATGACTGTAAACGTCACTCTTTGTCTCCCTGGATTTACTTTTATTTGTCTCTGACCACAACTTGGCTTTGACCTCAGCCTCACCTGCAACTCATTTCCCTGTGTTTGCCAAGCTTCCTCTTCTCATTTGACTGCATCTGAATTCACCGGCAACCTCTAAAAGCCCCACAAACACTTCCAGGGTTCACCCAGATGCTTCTGGGTGGAGCACTGCCTCAAAAACAGAACTGCTGCCCCCAAATGAGGCAGCACTGTTGAATAAAATGTGTCACCTTGAAGCAAAGACACACACACACACAGATTCTTGTGGCATTAAGCCTGGCCTCTTGTATTGTTTGACTGTGTTGATAGGAGGCTGGTCGGTGTCACAGCGGGACAGAAAGAACCGCTGTCCCAGGATTTGGGCCTGAGCTACGCTGATTTCCCACCCTGCCTCTCCTTCTTAAACAACTATCAACCCCCTCTCCCATTTTCCATTGGCTCATTCAGTACCCTCCAAACTCAAACCTCCGTGTACCCCACAACCAGCCCCTTCATCCAGTCTATGCACCCCCTCGCCTTCATTTGAATCCCACAGTGAAGCCTCTTTGTGCGGAAGCTGCCACTGCATTGTGCAGCAAAAGGGAAGCAGAGCAACTGGACAAGCAAATGAGTTTGCTGCAACAGCTGACGGTGGTGTTTGGAAACATCACGCACAAACTCATGCAAAAATTTGTCAGGTGAAGGCTCCTTTCAGCTGCTACGTCGTTGTCCCTGTCCTTCAAAAGCTCCCTGGAAGTATGAAACATTAGGTAAGTAAACCCAATGAAGTGGAGAAAAAAAGCTTCAGATTTGATTTCTGCAACTCCTAGAGCATCACCATCGACCCTGGTCATCTCAGGTTTAAATAAACAAACTCCAAAACTTTTACTAGATGTTGCCAAGTTTTATGTTAATGAAAAAAAAGGTTCCTGCTCCAGTTGTTAAAGTAAAAAGCGTTATTGTTTTTCTTTAACGTTCCCATTGTTTTCGGTTATTGCACATGTTTTACATTATATTCCTCTCCAGCTGCATGAGACTCAGAGAACTCATGTCCTGACAGGACCTAGAGAAACTCATTCATGTTTTCATCTCCAGCAGGTTGAACTTTGGTCTTCTGCCCAGTCTTCCCAAAAAAGCTGTGAAGCAACTGCAGCTCATGCAGAATGCTGCTGCTAGTCTTAACAAGAACCAAGAGAACCAAGCACATCACTCCTGTTCTCAAATCTCTACACTGGTAAACTGCAAAATCAATTTCAATGTACTACTAGTTTATAAATCACTCAATGGCATGGGACTAGAATTTGGACCTCCTTCCTGTATACTCCATCATGGCTCTGAGATCCTTAGGAAACAGTCAGCTGGAAGAACCTCGGGTCAGAACCAGACAGGGTGAATCTGCTTTTAGCTACTGCTGCACACAGATGGAATCAGCTTCCTCGTGACCTCAAATGTGCCCCAAGTTACCCTAGTAACATTTAAAAACCTTCATGTTATCATCAGCCATTGAATGGCTTCTTATACTGCACCTTCTGCACTGTAACTGCTCACCCTTTTACCTTGTCTCTTTCTTTTTCATTTTTAAATCTAACTTTAATTTGTGTGCATTTTAATTTAGCTGCTTTTAATGTTCTTGCTTTTCTTGCTAATGTGAAAGCACAGTGAATTGCCTCTGTGTGTGAAATGTGCTACGTAAATAAAGCTGCCTTGCCTATTTTAGCGTAATTATTTTACCAAAACCCTTGGACCACTTTACAACCATGCACTGACAGTTAGTTTAAAGGGTTATTATAGGTCTGTTTATGTGGAAAAATAATAATAATTACTCCATTAGACTCAGAGTCACTTTATCACTTTGCTTGATATTGGCCTTTTTACTGATATCCGATCTTGTCTGACTCTTTATTTCCAAAATCTTTATCTCAGATCTGTTACATTTGGACATTTTGAGAGAGAAAAGTAGCTGAAGAGTTTGATGCATACTATGTGTGTGGTATGTAAATGCTGTGGCATTAAAAGACTGAAAATCATTACCAATATTTTCAGTGTTACATTTTAGTGCCAGTATCTGCTAATGTTAACAGTACAACGATAATATTAGACAGCCCTTCTTTTTTCTTAAGTTTTAATAGTTCTTTGGTTAAAAAAACATGTTTTATGTCATTTTTTGCACTAAATCTCTCTCACATGAAGCGATTTTAGCGGTTTTATTACTGACAGTTTCAGTACCTTCCAGAATGAGCCGTTTCAGGGCTCTAGTCTCTTTCCGGAGTATTTATTTTATCTGGTGGCACCATCTAGTGGCTGACAAGCATATCACACAAATAATTTCTCCTTCAGTTTCATTAAGATGGCAACTTCACCTTTCTTGTTTATTTATGTCCTTCTGTAGCCAACAAACAGAGCTAAAACACCTTGTTTTACAATTTTTATTCTCATGTCATGTTGTGTTCTCATACATTTATATTTTAGAGATTTCCTTTCCGTGAAAAGTTCATCAACTCTGCATCAGCTGAGGTATGCCCTTAAATTTGAAGCGTGTAAGCGGTAGTCTGACGCTATTGGTTAGATCTGGTTGGCGCTCAGTTTCCTATTGCACGGAGCTCTGCAGGCAGGGGGTGTGCTTAGCAAAAAATAAAAAAAGACATATTGCTTACATTATATCACGTACATGACAAGACAATTACTTTTACGGATTTCTGAAAAATCATGCATAATTTCTGAAAGGGGAAAACTCCGGAAAGATACTTTAAGAAAAGAAGCTGGTGCTGTCCATGCCCACCCATTTTCCACTCAGGTTGCTATAAGCTGAGAAGCTCCGAAAACCAGGAGGAGCTCAGAGTAGAGCTGCTCCTCCAGCAGCAGCTCTCTGTTGCACATGAGAGGTGATTTAATTCTACTTTCCCTTTTTGTGATGTCAGTAACAGGGACTTTAAAAAAAGCTTGTTTTAGACACATCATTCCTAAAATCAAACATGGGCACAAAATGAATGGATGCTTTCAACTGGAGTGCTTATAGAGGCAGTAGAAACCCACATGGCAGCTCAAAAGGATGCAGAAAGTGAGTTTTGCATAATACGTCCCTTTAAGAAGGTTGCAACTGTTTTAAAGAGACAAAAAACATCTTCTTTAGGTTTGCCTGTGCTGAACAACTCATTTTCTAGCTTCTCCAAACAATCCAACAAGACCCAACATCCAAGTTCATAGCTGTCATTTAAAACAACTTCAGTCTCCAAAATGTCACAGCATTTTATGATAATCTTATCTGTTTAACTTTTATACTAAATTTAATTTTTTCTTACACTGTCTTTTCTACAAGAATTCACCCCTGGATGCACTGGAAGTGATGATGATGATGATGATGCTTTTGACAGTCATGCTTGTAAATGACCAGATAATTTTACGTCGTATAAAACTGAACATGGCGTAAAGGTTTGTGGAATAAGATTGCATAAAGAGCCACAAAACCTGGGAGATTGAAGCTGTTTTAAAATGACAGAAATGTGTTTCTATCTTGACTGCACAATGACTAGCCTTTAGCTCATCTGTAGGACTTAGAAACTATTTCTCTGAACAGAAGCTGTTCACAAAGCTATTTACTGCTAATTTATTAAATATTTATCACTTTTATGCAGAAACTCACTTGAAATTTGAATATTCCAGATGTACCTGATCTCTCTTGTTCGCCTTACAGCATCTTTGTCACATCATGATGATCTAGAGTGTATTATATAACACATTCAATGGGGAAAATGGTTCCTTTGGTGACATTTTCTAGAGCTGGAGGTGGAAGTTTTCACAGGTCAGGCAAGTTTCCCCGCAGCTCATGTGTCTTTGTTTCTCTTAAGGTGGTCTGACCCCTGCGCAAAGGTCAGCAGGCAGCAGTATTCAGGTCACAGGTGTGTTTTTGTTCAAGCAGGGAGGCTGCCAGCTTCATTCTTTTATTTAAATGTACCTCACATCAAAGCCAGCTGGAAATAAACATTTTATAACAAACGTTTCAGTGGTTTTTGATTCTGATACCAGTCAGGTGTAAGACTTTTGTTTCTGTGTGTGTGCGTGCGTGCGTGCGTGCGTGCGTGCGTGCGTGCGTGTGTGTGTGTGTGTGTGTGTGTGTGTGTGTGTGTGTGTGTGTGTGTGTGTGTGTGTATGTGTGTGTGTGTGTGTGTGTGATAGTTCTGCCCTGATCCCCCCCTCTGACCTCTCTCTGGAATTCAGGGCTATAAAAGCCTATAAAGTTGCCCCAGCCCTCCGTCTCCCTTGACCCTCCTTCACCTGCTTCACTTCTTCTCCTCTCCTAGTCCCCAACCTACACACACACACACACACACACACACACACACACACACACACGCACACACACACACACACACACAACGCAGCAGATGTGTGACGGCCGACGCCACAAACAGCTGTCGGCTCTTGTATCAGCTCCTGTTGAACCCCACACG